AGGTACTTGATTTCGGATGTCTGTGGAACTTGGATTCCGGATTCATTCCAGTCGTTAGCAGTATTCAGGGTATATTCCTTGAACTGAACTCCGGATTCCAAAGCCCTGGCTTCCAGATTCCAAAAGCAAAAACGTCCTCGATTCCAGAGTATTACCATACATGGGGAGACATCATGATATACTCCAGATAATAAATTATGTCGTGTAATGTCATTCACCACGCAGAACTTGTTATTTATAAGTAATAACAGGAGCCGATTAGGTAATAAACATTACTCTAGCCCTTCTGATTTAAGGTATCAGCCACCCTTCAGGACCGTCCGCGCGCGGAGCGCTGTAGCGTTAGTTGTTTTCATAAAAACCCCTATAAACCGTATATTTTTTAAAAGCTTTATAATTCCAGATTATGGATTTGAACAAACAAAAACGATTTACTTAAATGTGTTTCGAAATTGGAACGCTTTGTGTAAAAGTACACGTCTCTATAAATCATGTTCCACTCCCGCCGGAAATAAACGGAAGAAAACAATTAACACCGCATTCGCTTCTCAACACGTTCCACTAAAAAACCGTGTCTCCGATTTTTGACAAGTGCGTTTGTTTTTCTTTTATTAGCAACTGAAGTTGGGGAAGGCAATTAGTCAACACTCCCTGTGGAAAAAAAGCTCTAGCTTTAAAATGAAAAGGTGTATTAAAATTCGCAGACACGGTTTTGTAGAAGAGATATATGGCATCACTCTGGCCAAATTTTAGCCAAATTGATTGAAAGGCTGCCGACTTGGAGTTTAAAACGTACGAGTCGATCGGCAAAATTTGCGTTCGGAGATAAAATAGAAAATACATTTTTGGCGGCATCCTACCTGGAATGAAATTATAACACCTAAATGTTTACTCTGATTGATATCAGAGAGGGATCAATTTTCTCTAACAAAAGGACTTTGACAGGTAACTTGTAACGGGAACAAACTTTTTATTGCTATCAACATCTTCAAGTGAACAGTTTAATTCTCCGTTGGAAAACTTCCACTCTTTTACACCACGAGAAGCACAGTTTAATTCTTTCTCGAGCAAAAGTTTTGCCTCTCCTTCGATCTTTTTTGTATGATTCGCCGAGGCGTTTTTGTTGACGGCGCCAGGCCAAGGAAACTAAAAAACTTTGAAGGCGCCGAATGTCCACCACCGATTGCTCGAAGGCCAAGAACTGAGGCCCGGTATATTTCAAACGCTCTGCTCTTCTCGGAAGAATTAAAAACAGAATTTTTCTTGTGCGACGGACAGCTGTCATTCTCGCACTGGATTCTCCAGGTAGAACCAAGTCCATGCTTAGTCGCTACATTTTCCATGACTTGGACTCTTACCTGGCAAAATCGACAAGATACAGACTCGTCCAGTTTCTCAAGCAGCTTTTCGCTCGATACGATAGCTTGACCGCTTATTGTTTTCCACGTTCCATCAGCAGATGGGGTGGATTAGCTTAATTGGCTTTCTTCATCTGGCTCTTCAAGCTGGATTTTGGAGCGGCTTGCACTCTCGGCAACTGCAGCAACTTCTCTTGCTGATAAAATGAGCCTTTGTCGCTCTCTGCCAATTTTGCGGACCATTCTTTGTCAAACTCGCTCTTCGATTTCGGAAACGAGCTTTTCTTTTTTTTTTTTGGCAGCATTTTGACCGAAGCAAACGCTAAATATCCACGAAGAATACTAAAGGCTATAAACAACGCGAAGACAATTCGCACGTGTTGTGTCGAAGCACGCACTCGGTATCACGTTACTAGTTCACAGGCAAGTCAATTGATATATGACACGGGTATGACAGATCTTGTCAACGATCAATTAAGATAGTTAACGAGAAAAAATCTTTTACCCCCGATATCTTTCGACAGAAATAATATTTTCTTCTGATTTTTTTTTTAAAAGAAAGCTCTCAAGCATACCTATTTGAAAACGTTGAAATCTCAAATATGGAAAAATGGCAATTTTAAGGGTGGCTGATACCTTAAGGGCGACTATACGTTGGGTTAATATGGAGTACTAGTTGCAGTCAAGGCTGGTCAAGCGTACCCCCTCAAAATTCTATTGATGAATTGATTATTTGAAAAATGAATCATGAATTCGTTAGTTGTCCCCGTATTTGGTGTCAAATTCAAATCGGCATTCCTGCATGCGTAATAAGCAGTGAATATTTTACGATAACTTTTCTGTATTTGGTCAGATTGAAAGACATTTACGTCACATTCAGGGAATTGGACAATATTAATGGAATCTTTGGGGAGTGCGCTTGACCTGGCTTGACTATAATACCCTTTAACACGGTTAAGTTTTAGATCATCTTACCCTCTGTCGCAGATGTTCTTCCTTTTTGAACCACATTGCATACGCCACACGATAGTATAGCACGGCCATAAGGGAAGTTGAGAGAACTGCGAGAAAAAGCCAACTTAGACTGTAGGCCTTGCCGACCCACACACTTGGCCACGTGTTGATGCAGTACTTTCGATTCTCGTTATATCTCCTGTATATAAACGATGGAATATTGAAGATCACCCCAAGAATCCACGTACAGGTAATTATCACCTGTTTTGATATCAAAGAAAACAAGGGGTAAATATGGTTTGGTTTCCAGGGGGTTGATGGGGTGGGGGGGAATCTGAATCTGCCATACCCCAAGATTTTCAGAATTAATTGCATTTGCTCTCATTAAATGCGAAAACACATTACGAGTACTATATTTACGACTAGTAATAGTTGACACTACAGCTGCCCCCGCTCTGTATATTTTCGGCGAATTTCTGTAATCGTCCATCGTTCTGCTAGTGATAAGCTAGCAGTTGTTCACTCGTCTTGCTTGTTTAGGGCTGAGTCTTATTCCGGTCAAAGAGAGAGAAAGAGTGTCTGGCAAGGTTTCCATTCAAAGACTCGGAACTCATGCGTGTCTGGCAAACTCTCCAAGTGTTTATATATACACAGTTATATGCACCTTATAACTTCATCTGCCCTTAACGAGCGTCTTTTGGTCCATAACTTTCAAAACAACTGCTCCAAAGAGTGTCGCTGATAACACGTAACGCAAAAGAGTATCGAAGTGTGACTGCACAATAAATGTCACAAAATCTACCTAAGCGGTCCCTTCGGGATTTTCTGTCTTTACGTCATCCTAACCATTTCGTACTTGCGGGCGCAAACAATAGAAACGTCGTCATTACCTACTGATTCCTCGCGGCCCCTGTTCAAGGAAATCGAGACTTTTTCTAGCATACTGACTGTATATTTCAACTGTAAGTACTTTCCTTAATATACGCGCTAGTTACTAGAGTGCCTCCTCGGGATTTCGCCTTCCGGGCGAAATCCCTGCGGGGGAAATAAATTGAAGTAATCGCACCTTCAAAGTACGTTTACGAAGCGGCCTTGCTAAGTATTTAATTGGATGGACCACGGCGTAGTATCGTTCAGCAGCTATGGCAACCAAACAAAATACACTGGTGGCGGCGCCAACCCACCCAATGTTTCCGCCAGTCACCGCTATGCACAGGGTGTTACCCAATGATCCGTCTGGATGTGAGAAGGCGTGGGAAAAAATGTACTTGGGTGATAAAAATATAACAGTTGAGCTGTCTGCGATGGCCAAATTCAGAAGAAGATAGTCGAGTAGATTCCTGTCGGTGTAATAAACATTGACAGTTAATTAATTGACAATAGGCTATGGAAAATACACGAAAAATAAAACAGTTTCGATGGGCCCACTTCTCTCCACCCGAAAAGTTATCTGGGCGTTCAGTTGCGGACAAGAAATCTATAACGATGGTTAAAATATGTTTAGAATTTAAAAAGTAAGTCGAAAATCGATAAAATACATCGAATCGAATAAAAAGACACAAGTCGAGGGTTGCAAATATCCCGGAAATATATCTTCACGGACGAAATGATGTTAATTATAGTAAGGTGTCTGGTAGAATCATAAAAGAAAGAACAAAAACCATCCACCAAAGAGGTTAGACTACATTAACAGCTAAAAAACGAATTGTTCAAACCTTTATTATTGGAAATTTTAAAATAGATGTCAAAACTCGGTTGCAATGGTGATATGAATGTTGACGTACATGTCACTACGACTAATAGTTTGAACGATTTTGAAGTTTATTCAGGTTGGGCAACCTTTTCAAGTTTTAATGCTGAGCCACCAATTAAATAATGATAACAATAATAATAATGATAATAATAATAGTAAAATTCGTATAGAGAGCAGCTATACATACATGTAATCTCAGCGCGCTTTGAAAATGCAAGAAATAAAATATAAGAAATATACAAACTAATTAATTAAAATCGATTAAATAAAAATGTTTTGAGCTATAGATATTAACAGAAAATACTGATGTTTTCTTGGCTCTCATTTTTTCTACAGTAGTTACTTATTAATAAGTTACTTTAATCAGATTTCGATTCTTTTAAATCTCAAAGCCTACCTCATGTCTCGATTCTTTATAATTATGATACAGACCAGAAAGTTTCCTGCAATGTTTACGATTGTGAGTAGGGAATGGACCACAATTAACGCAATATTGGCTGAATCGGAATTACTGTAAACAGACATGGCTCAGTCTGAATTAAATCGGGGTCCTAGCCTGCCTGAAGCTTCTTCTGATCTGGTGAATAATGATTTAAATCAAAAAGCGATTGTTAGTAACGGTCGCAACGCCATACCCTGTCAATACCCTGTCCGATCGCCCTCATCATCAATAAAGTGCGGGAGTCTGGGTACAAATTAAGTCAGGATCAATAGGCCATTTCCTGTTCCCCCGGACCTCTGTATGAAAACGAGGCTAAGTGCTCAACTTTTGATAAGGAAATGATTTTTACTTCTCATGCGAATAAAACTAATTTTTACAAGAAAGGTGTGCACTTGGGCTCGTTTGAAAATAAGTGTTTTCGGATATCGGAAGTGGCCTACTGTACAAAAACTTTTGAAAAAAAGTAAGAACCTGTTTAATCCGTTTTTCTATGATCATTGCCGCAACTCTGGAATTCTTTGTTGGTACGCATTTGAAAAAAAATTGAGTTTAAATGCTTGCTAATACCCTTGTTCTGAAAATATAGTTTAGGTATTATGTTTAAAATGCAGTTTTAGTACCAGATATTTCTCAGATAGAGGGAAAACTTGCCAGAGAGTATTCAAATAGATCTCAAATAGCACATATGAAGCTCCTATGACTATTTTGGTTTTATGGGTAAAATATAACAGCAATGCCTGGGACTTAAAGCAATTTTAAAATAGCTTTAAACTACTTCCCAAAAGGTTTGAAATGGAGTTGGTTGGTTCGGGGAAACGGAGACAGAAACAGAAACTGAAGTCAATATGAGGACAAGATCATGTTTCATCTAAAAATATGCCAAAACAAATATATATCATCTAACTTAAACGAAAATTTATCAATACAATGGGTTATGTTACCATGTCATGAACATGACTGGGTAGAAATTTTTCCATTTCTCACATTGTAGTTAAAAATACGAACGATTGGGGGAACATTATCTCGTCTGAACATTTATTGTCTCCTAAATTTAACTTTGGCGTCAGCTGTATTTAACAAATGAATTCCTTTTTGCAGTGTTCCTTTTAACTAGCAACTTAAGTGCACAAATGGCGTCAGCGCGGTGAAAAGGCTAAGGCCAAACCAATTATTATAATATGTGTCGACCTATTCTAAGTTAAAAATGTACATCTGCTATCATGGTTAAGAAGTCGAACAATAAATGAAGGATCCTTTGTTTCGTCTCTTGAAAATGTTGAAACGGTTCGACGTTGTTTGGCCAAGTTTGAGAATAGACTTTCGCAATGTTTGTCTGAAATCTGTTATTTTAAGTTAGACAAATATGACATTGTAATAACAAAAATGACGAATTCGCTAATGGCAATTTCAGTTTAAATAGATCATGGATGACATCAAAATGTGGTTTATAAAACCGGATAAAGTGGTAGAGAGTTCAGGCGAGTGCGTCACTGATTATTTTCTCTCCATATTTGGTTTCGAAGTCTTCTGTGATCTATAACTAAGCCGCAGAAACCACTATAGGGGATAGATATTTCAAAAGGACTTAAAGAGGACATTGGCATCGTCGACCAACAATAGAACAAAATGCATACATACATACATAGTTTTCATAAAGAGCAGCCCCAAATTAACAAAACAGGCTTCTAAAGCAAAAACCAATTGAGACAATACTCCTGACGTCTTAGAAACATTTGGTCGCTGGGTACCCCTGGTCGTTTGCTATTAGAGCGATTTTACTCGGCCCGTGAACCACACAGTTAATAACAACTTGAAAATAGCTAAAAATAAACAAAAGAAGACAATAGAATAAGTGCATCATAGTGCGTAGTATTCTACTACCTATTTTACGGGTTAAGAAAATAATCACCCTAACCGCCTTGTGTGTCTTAACTAGTAGAATAAATCGATTAAACAACAGATAATTTTTTGTAGAACCCTTGTCTCGTAAATTTTGGGATACAAGTTGCAAGAAACATTGCCTAAAACGTAAATCCTATAACCTTATCTACACTAATCTAAAACTGAACCTACGTAGTGTATGTAGATCGGAAAAGAACATTCAAAAATAGTATCATTGCTTGGTCTAGGTGGGTAGATAAAAACCGTTACTTCTTGACAACTTAAACTTACTGAGTTTGCAAGGTATATATATGTACCTTTTCTCCCCACGCGGCATCGACGCTTTCCCGACCACACTAAAGTAGATCGATCTATTTTAAAGAGTTCCTTTCGACTTCGTAATATCTCCTTTTTTTTAACGTCAGTTTTAGATAAACTTAGCCTACGTTGTTAACGGTATTGTATCAGCTCTAAAATACATATGTAAAAAACTCAAGAAAGGGCAGAAGTTGACAGAAGGTGCAATTAACTCGTGACTTACAATCAACGGACGGATATAAAGGATGTTGGTAATGACAATCAATATCATGTTGTTGTTGTTGTTGTTCTTCTTCTTCTTCTTCTTCTTATTATTATTATTATTATTATTATTATTATTATGGTGGCCCTGACATGATTTTCTGGCCTGCCCATGCTGCGTGCTAAATATACAAAATACTACTCCATCGTCAACACCATTCGTAGTCATCATAAGGAGAGAATTGGAAATTCGGTGTATGCATGGTGTAAGGTGTAAGTAATCGTTAACAAATTGGTTATTCCGGTTCACGACACACAAGCCGACGAGCTCTACCAGATGATCCATATTATAGGATATGGCGCTGACGTCATTCAAAATGGTCAACAACATATTGGCCAACATCATTATTGGACTTCAGTTGAAATTCGGATCTATGCAAATAGCGAAAATCCATGGACTCTGCTGGATAGAGCTTCTTAAAATCAGTTTATTTGCCAAAGGGTTGAGAGTGATAAAATCGCGTTTGTAAAATTTGGCGACTTTGCGGTGCAAACGGTTCGATCGCCTCTGACATATCCGGGCTCTTAAACTCGGCAAGGATAGCTCAAGGCGCCCTTTCTAGCAGTGTCGAAGGTTTTCGTGGCTGTTTCTTTTTGTAAAAGTTGGACACTGCGAAAGGGTCTTTTTTAGGAAAGGAAATTATAGCAGGAAAGTTCAACCATATACTTCCCGTCTCAAATACGAAGACTTGTGGTCAGTGTTGCGGATTGGTGTGGTCATCAAATTACGTAAAACTGAAAAGATTAAAAAGACACTGAACAAGACTCACATGACGCATCCAAACAATGGTTTCCGCAACAACAAGCACCCGACATATTTTTTCAGAATTTAGAGAAATTTTGCTCATTTCCTTCTTTCCCGTGTTGAATAGTTTATCCATCTCAGATCAGTCTCCTCAGAACAAGCAAAATTATATTCCGCTAAGGTTTTACGCAACGAGTATTTGAGTACCATTTTCCCTTGCACCTATCATTACACAGAAAGTATTTCAGATGCTTCATTTCCTGTAATCTTGTGAGAAAGTTGGTAGAATAAACTTTCTGTTAAACAACAGACAATTTTTCTTACAACTAATGGCTTTGAAAATTCTTTACAATTCAAGTTGCAAGAAAAATTGCTTGAATCCTAACGTAAACTTTTGACCGCTTTAAAATTCTATAAGTTGCTCCAATATTCGCATCTCATTTCGAAATTAGAATATCAGTATTGCTTGATTCCAGGTGGCTACTTAAAAACTCCTTCGGACAACTTACTGAGTTTGCACGAAGATCTTCTTCAAACACAACAGCGACGCTTATCTTGATACCACATTTAAGTAAATGAACTTATTTTAACCAACTCCTCTTTCCTTCATAACGCACTAAGTATCTAATCTTTTTTGTAGCTGGGGATAAATTGTCCTTACAACAGTTAAACGTGCTTTGAATAGCCCACGTTCGATATATTAAAATTTTAACATGACTCCGAGGCTTTTGGGTAAAATTGCAAATTGTTCACGACCTCATTGTCTCTCTATTTCCGGAAGAGACCTGAGCACACAGAAAACCAAACCAAATACAGAAAAATGACATGAAAGCCTCGGACTCATGTTGGAATTTTGACACAGTCGAAGCTCGCGTAAGCGACCACCTCGGAAATTCGCATGGTAAAGTAATAGATGGCACAAGAGCTTCAGAAACTCATTCATAATTCATAGAGAAAAGAATAAATGATATTAATGTTTAATATGTGTCTTCATATCTTTAAGTGACCATTAGCGCAGCGTTCAGATTACAAGAGATTAAAAACAAAGGAAAAGTCGAGTTGGGTAATTCCAAAAGTTGTCGCGGTCGCTTACGAGAGCTTTTCGTTTACAAAGATTAAGTCACAGTTCAAACTGGGTTTCACAAAGGTGTTTGTAACTGGAGCTGGTCGCTTGCGAGAGTGGTCGCAAGAAGACCTTCGACTGTATATCGAACGTGGGCTATTAGCTTAAACTTAACTTGTGACAGTGCTATCAATTTGGGCAAAGAAGATGTAGAGATAACTTCAATCAATATAATGGGTCTTTTTTATAGCGGGGCTCCCTCGCGCGCGAAGCGCGCGTGGGACAGAGCCCCATACTCATAGAATATGGTCAACCTCTTTTCGTTTGGTTGTCACGTGACTGACCGAGCGTACGTACGCGTCTACAGATTGTACGGGTAGGGTAGGGGAGACTATCAAAAGGAAGGGAGGGGTGTCTCAGGTGTGTCTTGGCAAACCCATGTCTTTTATATTGGCCATTCACAATATGGTTAATTGACAGCTGTCAAAACAGGATAGCCACTGACCAGTATCACATTGCCATATTGAGGGCTCATGTGTCAACTCATCAAGGTGACGTGATTTATTTGGAAGCTGTCCGCTGACCAGTTGTTTTACTAGATCGCAATCAATGTTATCAATCTTATACTTTCTAGCAAATTTGAGAGCACTGGAAAACTGATAATGCACACATCCATTGGACATCAATGTTGTGATCAATTAAAACAGGGTATCCGCTGACCAGTATCACTTGACCGTATCGCGGGCTCAGGTGTTGACCTATCGAGGTCGAGTATTTTTTTGAAGTTATCCGCTGACTAGTTACTAGTTTTCAAATGATCGCAGGCTCAAGTTTGATTGTTTTTTAATTCGTATGAAATATGTTTTGTGTTTGTGCCGCACAATTAAAATTTTGATTTCAAACCGACCTCGGACGCGAAAATTCAGCCAGCTATTACAGGCAGGGAAGGCAGTTGCTTTTGTCTTTGCTCACCATGGTCACGCGTTGGTCACTCTCTACGTCCAATTTTTATGCTCTGATTGGTCAAAATTTGACAGGCGAGCTCATGCGGAAAATTTATGCAGCATCTTGAATGTTCTTTACTTTGACAGCTGAAGCTGACAGAGTTTTGTGTCAACTTGTGATGTTTTTAACTGTCTTTTTCCACTGGATGAACAAAATGAAATTCAGCTGCTATCAGAAGTCTTCTGTTATTCATGGCTAGTTGGTTTTTGGTTGAGAAATTAATACATTACTTGTCAAAGTCGGAAATCCGATTTCGGATGGCATCGATTTCGCTTTTCACCTTGCTTGATGCGTAAGGGTTGAAAAGTCTGAAGCGACACTGGCCTTCCTTGATACCTTTCAGGAGCTGCATCTCGAATGGTAAGCCTCAGTAATTATTGTGTTTGATGTTTGTTTTTTATATCTAATTTAATGAAGTCGAGCCCAGTTTATGCGGCTATGTAGTTTATGCACGTTTGTAAGATTTGAGACAATTCGATATGACCAAGAATCAGGTTTGATAAAGCTTACGGAACTTTAAAAAACCTTTAGACATTTTCTTACCGCAAATAGAAAGAAAACGCTCCAAAGAACATTTACTTATAATTCTGGCTGTAAAAGAAAGCTTTGAGCGATTTTCTTGCCTCGAGTTCATCTTTGAAAAAAGTAAATACCGGGAAGCTGGCTTAAAACATAAACTAATTAACTTAAGCTTTAAGCTTGAAGACTCAGGATTTTTAGAGACACTTTAATACTTGTCTTCGTGAATGAAAAATGTTGTCTCTGTATATGTTTCACCGAATTATATTTCTTTTATTGATTGTTGGTAGTCTCTCTTGTAATTTTAATCGCCGTGCCGTTTGTTTTCAGTCGTTCAGTGAACATCGCTTGCAGGAGTACTCAAAATGCCGCGCGTATCAAACCGGCGCTTTTAAAGATTACACATCGATAAAGCCATTTAATAAAACTGAATAAACATAATAATTTCTTTATTATGTTGCAGCTTAACTCTAGTATGCTCGTTCAAACAGTCGCTACAGCTCGCACTGCAAAAGTGAGAACCGGCTAGCCGTATATGTGATTTTGGAAATTTTTTAAACGGTTTAAAAAGCCCACGCGTCCTTCGATCGTCATGAATATTGAATGAGTGCAATTTGTGCTGCAAAATTGTGGAATACTGCATTCTGTCCGAGGTCTGTATCATAAAAACAGTACCTCATGGTACTGTTTCACCTCAGACGTGATGTATAAATGGTATAAAAGGTTGGTTTACTCGCACCCGGATTTGTTGGCAAGATTTTGTAAAGTAAACTTGTCGAAGGCAAAAAAATTCGGCCTGATTTTTTTCCAGGCCTAATTAATTTTACGGTGATCAAGAGCCATTTTGGCTCCTAAATATTATCGAAGATGATTGCTATTTTTGGGGTGTACATATGAGGATAGCAACTCGATGTAAGATTTGGCTCACTCTTGGGCTGTTTGCAAATTATTTTTCTCTAAAACCACTTAGCCTTTCCCTCAAAAGTCACATGAATGTGCTATGTGCTCTAAAGTTAACTGAATTGTGGAATACAAGTTTATCGTTTGATTTAAATGATAAATATATTAATGGGAGCCTCGCTTTTAGCCCTGGCTAAGTCTATATTTTATATATTTAAGGCAGGTGCCCTTATTATCACTGTCTGGCTTGTCATGTTTAATGCGGGGTGAGATATGCAAAATTTTCGAAAAACGATCTGAGTGCGTCATATGGACTCTTACCCCCAAGAATAAAAAAAATCGATATGATTTAATAATCATAATAATGATGCTGATGATGATAATAATAATAATAATAATAATAATAATAATAATACTGCATAGCTTATTGAAGTAGAAATATGGCTCTTCACCTGTGAATAACTACAACACTATCACTTACCTACACTAATCTACTTATCATCTAGGTATAAATTATCATGCAAACTAGGAGCAGTGAAACTGTAAATACCCCCACCATGTTTCAAAGGTGTGGAGGGCGGAGGGAGGGGGGATGAGTTTTTATTTACTAATCATATGTAAAGATATTAATAGTTATGATAATCTGATTCAGTGGAGTATAAGCTCGCGCGAAACTATTTAGATTCAGATTAATGGATAGCTTGCATGTGATGAGCCCTACCAGATGATATATAATTTATTAAAAGATATGACGCTGCTAAGTTCTGTGATATTACACAAAATGGTCGTCACATTGGCCACTGTGTCGGGATCGCGGCTAAGTCCGGTCTGAAAATTCTGCATGTAATCACGCTCGCCCACAGGCAGCCCAAGCTTAGTATGAGAGTTGTTTTAAAATCACTAATCCATGTGGTATGACCGTTTTCACTCAGGTGGCCAGCATATGCAAATGTATTGGAATAAAAGAAAGCTTTTACATTAGAAAAGAATTAAAAAAAAACTCCCCTCAATTTTTGGCCTTTCTGAGCAATTTTTGAGCAAAATATAATTTTGGAACGCGAAGGCAGGAAAGAGTCAACGATTTCGTAGAAAAATTCAATTTATTCGAATTTCGTCAAAGAGTTAAGAGAGGATTGTCTCCTCTTGTAAATGATTATCAACCTTTGAACACATAACAACGCCTTTCGCAGGCCCAAAAAGTCATACCCTACTAGCAGAATCACTTCCATCTTCCCTAGATAAGTCGGGAAAGAAGGAACTACTCTGTCGACATCTTCAAACTCCCTTGATATGCCGATCATTCCACGGTTTGGACGAGTCAGGCCATTCTCGACCCCAGTGCTTACGGGTTTGGGAATGCCCGCGTAAGCTCTGGGAAACTCTGCGCCGGAGTAGCCAAAATCTGGCTATTTGGGCCTCACTGCGCATGCTCTTTGATCGAACCAAAACTTTTTGCTTCTTTTATATCTACTTCATCGCGAAAGTCTTGTGCTGCTTCCGTATTAGAACTGAAGAAATTCAGTTAACGGCCTTGAAGAATTTTGAGGTATCCAAGGCTCTTGTGGTGGCTGCTGAGAAAATACTGTTAAACGTTGCCAATCACAGATTTAAGACTTGAAGTTTACATATGCTTGACAGTTGATTAAATATTTCTGTGGACTACTTCACGAGGCGGTAGGTGAAACCCGAATGGCTTTTAATTATTTATTTATTTCATTTGCTATTGCAAAGTAAAGCCCGAATGGCTTATTAAGATAAACGTATCGAAATTCCAATAAAACAGTCCAAAATATGAATTTAACATCCTTTTATTTATGTTTGCTCAAGAACATTAACACTTCAGCGAAGCTGCTTTGAAATGCGATATCGTGGGAAAAGAAGACAACTATAAATATCTAGTCGCATTGTACACGCATCACTTTAGGGAACGATTTCCTTTATCTGTTTTTTTTTTTCTTGCAAGTCTGTTTTTGGCCAATTTGCGACAAAAAGCTCAAGTTTTCATTCATACTCGGCTACTTCGTGTGAATACGATAACGTGGAAGTCAAAGAAAAATCAGAAATGTGTCATGATTCTTAAACTATAGCTGCCAAATATGTCGGTGTATTTTTATTTCATGTTTCACATTCAAATCTTTTTCTGGTTCAATTTTCGATATGTTGCTGAGCAATTTTATTTGAAAATTGGAAAATCCAGTAATTCTGCCTGATTAGTCGTGCAAATGTTGTTTTGGAATCACTGAAACCAAGAATCGGCCGGTCGTGTTTACTTGAACATTTCTAGGGAAAAACCCGCTCACGCGCCAGACACGCCGCACGTTCAACCGCTCTTGTGCAAACTTATCTGGACCAATCAGAAACACTTGTATTGGTTTTTGCTCAAACCAATCAGATACAATCTTGTTCCAGGGTTCCCCAGAGCTCTTGATCTCTCTCCTCTACATGCGCAGAAGAGTTCTGGGTCGAGACTGGAGTCAGGCTAGTTTCATACTGTATAAACCACATTTATCTGTGCACGCAAGCGTACTCTGGAGATTTGCTGACTTTTTCTGCGCCCACGCTCGATAACAAAACAAATGGCTGCCGCTTTAATTTCAGGCACTAGTCCTAGCTGTTTTCATACACATTGGAAAATGCACTCCGATTTGAGATGGCTTTTGTTTTAGATTTAACCATGTGCTTAGACAATTTTACTTGCGTGAACTGATCCACGATCCAGTAAGTGTTACGCAGAGTTCTTGGAAGGATAAACTGATGGGTTTTTGAATAAAAATATTTAAGAAATAATTGCTATTCCTATTCTTTTGTGTTAATTTGTTCAATCATAACATCAATTCAAAATAAGATCACGAGGCTACAGAATGCAAGTCGCATTTAAATGATCGATGCTTTCAATATTTCACGCGTATCTTTCACTTCTGGTATATTTTTCGGGCACTATTTGAAATTTATATGCAAATATGTTTTAATGGTTGTCTAGAATTGTAATTTCAAAAAAAAAATCAAAAATTAAAGACTTTTTTTTTATAGTTATTTGCATCTCATTTTTTTGCTGAATGAAAACTTCGAGAAGTCGCGCGGTCGTTAGTTTGAAAGCGAGGTTGAGACTGAGGCTCGGTTGCATTTGAATTTGGGGCATGCTAAATATGAATTGTAGAGGATGTTGGCAGAGGTTCCTTCCTCTTTCCGACTTATATAGGAAGATCAAAGGGAAGTTATTAGATAAGATTCGAAAATTGAACATGAATGGAACGGTTCTCCAGAAATTTTTAGCCGTTCTCAAGAAATAGAAAATTCTAGACAGTATTTGCTTCTCCGAATAGATATTTTGCAAAAAACAGCCGTATAACAAGTATAACTTTTAATATATCGAAATATACCAGCAGAGCGTAAGAGTATACGTAAGAGTAAGGGGCTGTTCACACTTGACGGGGGAACCCAACGACTGGTTTGGTTTCGAGACTTGGGGGAATAAAACAAAAGAAATGTATTATTCATTGCTGAGCCTTAAGATGATTTCTTTTGTTTTATTTTCCTAAGCCTCAGTGCCAAGTATGAATTTTAATATATCGAAATTGGTCTAATAGGCGACATGCATCTGGGACTTTTTTAATTACTTGCTCTCGCAAAAATTAAAATTCATTCTTGATAATAGAGGGTAAAACAAATTAAGAAAATGGGTCTTGTCTTTCATTTAACGGAATCTGAAATAAACAATTAAGTAAAAAAACATTAGATAACAATAGATATCGGAGTGAATAAAGACGGAAACATAGATAGCAAAGTAGATTGAAAATGGATTCGGTATATTACATATTATTAAAAACTGAATCACTGGATAATGCAATTCTAGCATTTTGACTGGCTTAGCCGTTATGGTATATGAGCTATTATACCATGCTCTCCATATATGGTCGGTGCACGCGTCAGTTTAAAATTGGAAGCTAGCTGAGAGTTTTTTCGCGAAGGATAGAACGGCGCCCGAAGCAAATCGTTTTAATTCATTTCTTAGAATACTAGAAATGCAATTTCATCGAAAGAAAAAAGACAAAAACAAACAAAAAAGCCACAAGAGCTTGTTTGAAAGTTTGTCGAAAAACGCATGAAAACACATGGAACTAAAGTACCTTGACCAGCTACGAAAGAAGACAAGTGTTGTTTCTTCATGATCGCGAAGCCATTCGCCGATCGAGTCACTCGCCGATATGTAACTGCGGCTTGTTTATCCGACATCACGAAAATAAATCGCAAGTAACCAGCTACAAATACAGGCTATGCAGCCATTCACTAGAGCAATCGAGGCGGCAGTATAGCTTCTTTTCTCGTTCAGCAAAACCAGCTTGTGGCTTCAAACAACTTCATAACAAGCGACCGAGGTAATAGTTTTTCTCCGTTGTTCTTTATACTTTTATAACTGCACCGAAAATCCAAATTCACAGTAATTTCGACGGCTGTCACTTAAAAATTCTTTTCCTTCACATTATCTGCCAGGTTTTTTTTGCTGTTTTTCTGTGTAAAATCCTAGAATTCCGATGAGTTTTTAAAAAACTAATGTTCATCCCTACAATGTTTTGATTTTTCATTCACGCAGTCCAGGCGAGTCCGTTCGCGCGTTGACAGACGTGTGACATGTGAATAGCTGAAGTCCCTTGTCTTTTCCAGTTTGTTCTAGTCAGGGAGATTCGACGAGATTCAAATGGGCGTTTTTAATAAAACAATTATTCACTCGAGCTTGTTGGATATGAGATGATTATTGCCAACTCGACGCTACGCGCCTCGTTGGCTATCTATGATCATCTCATATCCAACGCGCCCTCCTGGAATAATTGTTAATGAGTAAACGGAGTAAAACATGGATAAACTGGGGTGAATATGGCTGAACATGGTTGAACACAGGTGAACGATAGCTGGGTAAACGGGGTTAATTATACCAATATAGAAGACATGTAAATTTCATATCTTTGGGACGTCTGGTGGGCCTTACATGGTCGCATTACCTAACTGGAAGCTGAATATTTCTTCCAAAGATAGCTCATCCTCAGAGGTGGCTTATGGATTTGTTTTCTCGTTGCATAAAGCAGTTCCTTGACGATTTTCAGAAGAAATCAACGACATAAAGTATTGGAAAATCCAATTTAGTAACTTTCTAACTGACCAAAGGGGGAAATTCATACATCCCATGATGCATCGCTTCATATTTTATTATCAAAATTTTTAATTCCAAATCCACGTGATGCTATCACTTCAACAGGGACACGAGTCACGCGACCGTTAAATAATATTGGAAATCGACATGTTACACCGATAAAACCTTCTGTACCATTGCTGTGCCGATCTACCGGTAGTAACGATTTTCGTTTTACTATTCCAAACATATCTTAAGCGTTTGTAGCCTACGTATCGATACGTAGCCGGTGGTTTTGGTTTGTTTTTCGTTTGGGATTTGTTTAGTAACTGTAAGTGATACAGCCGCGCGAAAAGTGAACCGAGGACAGATGAGTAAACGAATGGGGCGGTGGCTAGGGGGAGAGAAAAAAGACCTCAGTTCAGCTCTCACACGGCTGTATCTCTTAATTACACCGTAAAAAAAAAAAAAAAACTACAAATTCCCTCTTCTTCACAGGCTACGCAAGCTGTCCTCTCATCTTCCCCAAATTATGATGATCTGCCTTCACGTTTATGATGACATTCATGAACATTCTTCAGTTAAGACACAGAGCAGCAACTTTTTCTGTCTCGTGACTAATGTTTCACTAATGTGCAAAATACTAAAAGTCAACATTTCTGACTTACCAAGAAAAGATGGTGAGAATGTTACTGAAAAAAAAGGAAGTTAATTGAACTTACCGAAACATTTTTCACTCCTTTTTCAGTCCGAGAGTTTGAAGAGTTTTTTAATTGCTATCCCCACGTCTAGAGCTTTTAAGAGCCAATGTCTGTAATTTTCGAGAATCCGTTGACAGTCATGAATTTTTGAGTTTCTTCATATTTTGCCTAAATAATCTCTATAATACACTAATTTCAAAAATCACGTTAAAACTTGTAACAGCTTTTTATTTTTTCAGGAATCAGGCAAAGTTTGAAAAACTCTAAATCGGCGCTCTTTCGAGTATGAAATTAGCGAAAATTGAGCATTTTCTTCGCGCTCGTACATTGACACGGAAAAATATCTCTCGATGAAATCAAGTCACAAAACAGACACACATTATTACTTTATAATTCAGCAGTTAACTTTAAATAAACCGTTTAAATGTGACTGTACCGGCCGCAAGAAGAAACACGGTTTCAGCACTTTTCAAAA